AATAATAATAATAATAATAATAATAATAATAATAACTACAATAATAATAATACAATAATAAACTAATACAGTTATATAGTGCTTTTGCTAATACCAACAAAAAATAATGGACGATGAGCCTTTCTCTTTCCTTTGCCTTGATTTGACTTAAACGGGACCAAGATGAGCATCAGAGTATTTCTGTGTCTCCTGCCCAATAAAAACAGTGAATATTAATTCAGGAGTAAGTTTAGGTTTGTACATTCAGGTTTGCAAATGCCAATTCGATACAGTAATTCAAGGGACCTCTTGGGATTTGTGTAATAAGAGGAATTTAGCTTTTAATGGCTTGGCGCATAATTAACACGGTGAGCAGGATCCAAGAAGGAAAGTGCCATTTGCCCCCAAATAATTAAGTCAGTTTCAAGATCATTACAAATAGTGAGGAGATTGTAATGATGAAAAATGCACATCAAATAAGCATGCTAAATCGTTCAGAGTAGTGTAATTATGAAGTCAGGGCATGCCTCTAAAAGTACATCAATATGTTTGTGCCTGAGGCCTTGTGCATTTAGGGAAACATATTTCTTCTAGGCGAGGTCATGAATTTTATGTAGGATTTAGTCTGGCCAGCTCTCCTTACAAAAATAATTGAACTTGTTGCTCGACAGAACAATCAAAAGATGGGCAAGCACTTTGAATGAAAGCAACCCACGCAATATGATGTAAATTTGTGCAGAGGCACATGCAGATCGATGCGACATCTTGCAGGAGCCTGGGGTGGATTATTAAATCAAAGTTCTCTAATTGCATTCCATGTGTCTTAACCGGGCACGGCGCTTGTAGCCTGTCCCCCTGAGCAAACTGCTGTGCTGAGAATGTTGCTGGAAGTTAATGGCTTGGCCAGTGTCAAAGAGCTAGGAGCTTTGATGGAATGGAGGTGCTGAGGAACACGTAGAGCTCTTTTTTGTGTATAGAAAATGCTGTGAAGTAGCAGGTTTTTCCTCAGGGAGTGCGGAACCATACCTCTTTCTAGTAAAGCCTTTTGCTCCATGCTCTTTCTTTTGTATAGCAGAAAATAACAAGGCTACGAGCTCACACAAAACTGTGATGTGCCAATCCAAGAATGTTAACAATGACTCCTGGATTAGCAGTATAATTTATGTATGAATTACATCATTTAAACTCTCTTTATAATATGGCATGAAATTATGTTGTTGCGGTGCCTGACAGAGACTTTGACATATGCACCTAAATGACTGTTGATGTGGATTTCCAAACAGCAAAAACAGGAATCTACATCTTACGGACTTGTTTTAATGTTTGGTCATATATGGAAAAATGTGTTCCTGACCCTAAAATGCTTCCAGGTCATTTAGCAAATGCAGTGTATCGGTTTGGAGCTCAGACTGTCCTGCCAGGCTGAGCCCAAACGTCCTGGATTGAATCCAGGTAGTGCCCTTGTTCTGTTGTGGCCAGGATTCCCCCAAACTGTAGGTCAGTGTGCATCTTGAGGTACTGGTCACATTCAACATTGAGTGGACACAAAAAGAAAGACAGGGATTTGTTTTAAGCAAAAAAGGTGTAATGGGTTACTGCAGAGAAGAAGAAGCAGGGTAAGAAGTGATTGGATCTCTTGGCATGCTTAGCTGAATAACCTGGGGCTCTGGGCAGATGCAGTACTGCGTTAGTCCAGTGAATGGAGAAATGCAGCATGTTTGATAGAGATGCTGTATAAAAAAAGCATAAGACTTTGCTGATGGTTTTGTAAGATGGCTAGTCCTTCACTTCTTTTAGAAAAAGCATGCTATTTTTCTTTTTATGCCCTCCCAGTTTGGTAGTTTAATAGAGTATTAGTAGAGTGGGCTTAACTCTCAGGTAACAGATCCTTTGCCGAGACATTCTCAGCATGTCACTGGTGTGGCTGTTGCACATCCAGCAGGGGGCTCTCCCTCACAAGCCCTCGCAAGCCCAGCAGGTCCTGGTGACACATAATTGACCGTGGGTTGGGGACTCCTGGTCACCATCAGGCTAACTGCCACTGTGACTGGACATGGCCAGTCTGTGATTTCTGTTCCTTGTGCTGAGTAAAAGTTACAAGTTAAAATGTAAAAAGAAAGATTTCAATGGCGCTGCTATTTATCCTGCACCAATCAGCAGAAATATAGGTGATGTTTTGTTTTGGTACTGGTTGAATATTTTGAGGTTAATGGAATGCAGAATGTAGGCATTTGAGATACGTGGTTTAAGGTCGAATACAAGTGTAACTTACTGCTTTGCCAAGCACTTCGTCTTTCTCTGGTCCCTTGAGTTCACTGCACATTTCTCTTCTTCTGTCTGTGGTCAGCTGTAGGGTCATGATGAAGATCCATCAAAGCCTTAGATTTAGGAATTCCTGTTACAATGTCACCTTATCATTGGGATGCTGGGATATATTTGATCTGATTCCTGACTTGTATGCACAAAACACACACGTTACCTTTGAGCAACGTTTAACTCAAAATAATCCGAGGTATTTCTGTTTCTCCACCCACACAAGTACCATCAGTGCGGAATCACTACAATGCTTTTATGTTTGATGTGGCAACCCTAGTACTAGCTGATAACTAATATTTGCTTCATGATTTGTTTCCTTAAGTATTCA